TGGGATGAGGCCACACTAGATTTGCCACAAAAGAGCACACATTTTGACGAGTGTAATGTAAACAAGTGAAAAGTTGTGATAGGGCGGAAGTGGGATAAGAAGCTAAAGAGTATATAGATAGGCCAGGACAGAAAGAGGAGTGATCCTGTAACTGTTTTCAGCAGAACGTTTGTCGAGGGATTGACTTCACTTTTATCTTTGACGAGTTCGTATCTTGGTGCGGTGAATGGCAAGACTCACTGATGATGCCGACTATAATGCTGGTGAAACGTTTGAGAATCTACCAGGTCCACTGTCTGATGCTGGGAATCATGACAACTCCTATGGCAGATTACTTCCGACTAAGTACGTGCTACTAAGTCGCCCTGACAACAAGACCAAGTTGCGACAACGACGTCAACCCAATTCTATAATTATTTTAGTTCCGTTTTCTCTACTTAATTTTATATCAGGGGGACTTTGAAGAGCATGCTCCAAAATGCTACATTCGTAATTCCCTGTGATAGACTCAAGCGTACCTTTGTACAAGCCTTAGATTATTAAGTCAATTATTTGAAAACTCATGTTGTCATCAGACGATCATCAGACTTTTCATTTAATGCATGCTCAGACGCCTCCCCAGCTTAGCAGTATGCAGAGCAATTGACAAAGCCATGTCTAGAATCGGGCGACAACTATTCAAACTGACAAAAGGAGAGTGGAAAAAGGAGTACATTCTTTGAAAGATCTCTGAAAACTCCACAAAGTAAAAAAACTAAGCCATATTAAGTCAATGCTGAAAAAACACATAATTAAAGCTAAACGTACGCATAAATAGGTAGGCTTGCCGAATTCACCCAGTAAATATGACGATATTGAGAGATCATCAAACCTAGCCTAAAAGGTGAAGGGGATTACGATCATAGAAAATGCCATTATATCTTTGTTATTATGAATATCACATCAGTTCCGCGGTGCCTTATGTCTCGTAATAATGCCCTTTTGCATAAGTTGATTGTAGGTTGTACTATTCTAGGTCTCATAACCACCTGGGGCCTAAAATCACAACCTTTTGCCACTAGGGCACAAGAAAGGAGTAAATCGTTCCGCTAAAAAGCGTTATGCCATTACTTAAGAGATGCTATGAACTATACAACCAAATTTTCAGCGAATTTCGTCCCGTAAAAAACATCAACCACTGACCCCCTAAGTGGATTCATTCTAATCCCATTATGAAGTGATGGTAACCCTCGAATTCACAACTGAATTTTATTTCAGCTTGTATTCCGAAATGCCGTCCTCATTCAAAGTGGACAGCAGTTCCGACTTGTCAGAGATACTTAGCCTTAGCGATAATTGAAATCTAGACCGGTTCCTCTATTTTATAATAAGATCTCAACTTTTCACTGTCATACCATTAGAAAACGGTCGAAGGAAACATACTAACTGTATTCCTGGAAGTTAGCTGTAAGCATAATTTACCCTACCATCACTTGAAGTGTAATAGACCATCCTTTACCACTCACATTTCTATAAAGTCTTTTGAGGGCAGTTTTCTTGAAGAATGATTTCACGCTTTGATGATGCCTGCCACATATAAGACAAATGCTAAGCATGGGCTTATCGGAATTTCAGGAAGCTGTATCGAAAACTTGTATGAGAAAATCAAGTCAAAACACCAAACGTTCTTCGGCTTCCGATGGGATCATTTTAGAGACGCCTTCTACTCGTCTTAAACTAAATGAATAGTGCAATAATTTATCATTAAAGATGTGCGCAAAATGTAAAATGGGTTTGCCAAACTGAAAGGACAACGCCGTAGCACACTTCAGGATTCAAATCGAGAAACTATTTGCCATCAAACCTATTAGAAAGACTGGTGTTGATGCTAGAATCGAATATTCTTTCCATGCTCTCGGTTACAGGCCGATCTTCCATTCATGTCTAGTTTAATGCTACTACGAGTTTCTTTGCTGCTGTAGCCGCAGTAACATCGGGCCTAGTGAGAGAGCTTATTAATTGTATGCGAAGAAAAGTTGGATTTCGAGGAATCTCTTGTTTCATAAGGAGGAACACTTCATGGAAGAGGTAAGATTGACACCCAAACTGTTAATTAGATATATGGATGACTACTTTGCGATATGGCAGCATGGCAAGGATAGTTTAGATAATTTCTTGGTTTTAATTAACCAGATTGTTGCAACAACAAGTTGACAATGAAGATGGAGGTCAACAATACTTTACCCTTTTTAGATGTATTAGTGATCAGAGCAGATAAGCAGTTAAGCAGGGATGTCTATAGAAAGCCAACACATTCTGGCTTTATACTTAACTTTTTCTCCAATCATAGTTACAAAACAAGGGTTGGAGTTTTAAAATCTATGATTATTCGGAGCATAAGACTAGAGGATATGGACCATTGTGACAATGAACTGAATCGGCTTAAAATAATATTTCTTGAGAATAACTATCGCCTAGGCTTGATTGAAAATAACATTAGATTAATAGACTCTAATATACAGGCAAATATGCATTCTCATACAATCGAGCAAAAATAACAGAACGGATATGAAAGAAAATAAACCAAATTACTCTATATCGATCTGTCTAGATTTGTAATTTTTAATCTATTGACTCGACT